TACGTATTGAATGCTTTTTGCATCTTAAATGCACCGTAAAGACTCTCTTCTCTCACCGAAATTATGTGTTTTATTTTCGTAGAAAGTAAAACATCGTTGCACACCAAGTCTAGGACCATAACCTCTCTTTCTTGAACCACGAATACCAACCCGAACAATAGCGGCTCTCACTTTGCACGACGAGCACGGTAGCTCGTTATGCGGATTCATTTTATTAGAATTACTTCCTATAGAATAGCGTACGTATACAATTGCGAGAAATGATCGAATTACGTTTCCTGATGGCCACGTTGAACGATACCGTTTCTATTTGCATACACTACTTTCATATATAAATTGAAACATATAAAATGACTACTTTAAATAATTATTAAATTATTTATATAAAAAATAGTATAAAAAATGATATATATAAAAATGTTTTATATAAAAGTTGTATAGAATAGAAGGAGAAATAACTTGATTATTACTTTTTTTTATAAATATTTTTTTTAAAACTATTAAATTTATAAATTTAAAAACTATATCAAAAATTAAAGAATATTATTTTTTTAAGAATTTAATTGATTCAATTTTGTTTTAGTATATCTTTTTTTTAACTTTTATTGTGTTTTTTTATAGTTTGATAAATATTTGGTAAATAAAGATAAAATATGCTGATTAAATTAGATTAGATTAATTTAGAATTAATTTAGAATTAATGTTCTATTAAATTTAAAATCCTTATATTTCTTTATTTATCGATTATCATAAAATACAAAAATACAAAAATTTTTAAAAAAGTTTATAATTTTTAATTAATCTTAAAATTTCATGGATGAATTGCATATGATGAAATATAGTAGAACAACGCATGCGTTCATTTTGTACGACTGTCCATTAGCTTTTCTGTTTATCGACGTCGAAGAGGAAGGCAAATAGTCGATAACTCGATCAGAGGTATTATTGTTCTTCCTCGATACTCGGCCAATTTCAGTCCTGATAAAAGATATTCGAATACTCTCATTGAAATTAGATCAGTCAATATATGTGCTTATATACACACTTTTACATTTAAATTACTGTGCATTTATTATTTTATGATCAAACGGATTTTAATATTATATAAAATATTTCGGATTTAAAAATTGTATATTGGAAGTCTGGATTATGGTGTATATTTATTGTTCCGATAATGCTAATATGAAAATAAGTTCTCTTGTTATTACTTTCTTAATGACAATGTATTTTTTATCAATAGAACTTCATGATCTTTCAAATTATGAGAACATATCCTGAATAGTAAGAATTTAATTAATTTTGATAAATGTTATTTTCTGAATTTTTAAATTATTTCTATTTTGTTTTTAATTAATTTTATTATTACATATAAATATTTTATTAATTTTATTTATCGATATGACACATTTTTTATTTATTATAGAATTTTCTGAAGTAATGAAATCTTAACCTAACTTTTTTTTACATTTTTAAATTTTGTGGAATATATTAATGATTGCAAACTAATCAATAATGTACTTATGTACTTTGTAATGGAATTTGTTTACTTTAATTTCTAATTTAAAAAAAAAAATATATGTTCTTGTTTGATTGAAACTTTTTCCAAGAAAATTGAACTTTTTGTATTTATACAAAAAATATATAGAATAAAAATTTCAATAATTATATTTTATTTTATAATTGTTTTCTTTAAGCAGTAAAGATAATAATTGAAAAATTATTATTTAATTACAATTTAATTATTTAATAATTAATTCTATTGAATATAATTGAATAGTTATTAGATTTTATTTCTACAAAAAATTTGATATCATTATAATTAATTGTAAAAATAGAAAATAATGAAGCAAAACTTTAATATTTCTGACAATAACTTGTAATACTAAATCGGAAAAAGGAATCGTTATTTATTCAATATTATCATGCAATAGAATTGTTATACAAATTAAAAGATTATTGGATTTCATAACATTAGTTTACTTTCTGATTACGTAGCATGATACCATACGTTTTATAAAACCTTGACTATCGTATAATTTACGATAGATAAACAGTCGTTTTTCTTTTCGATTGTAACCATGATTTTGATGTTTGCCTTTGACGCAAATTATGTACAATGTAAAAGTCATTTGATAGAAGCCATTTTAAGATATTTTCAAATTACATACATTATTTTAAAATTACTTTTTAGAATTATTTAGAATAAATAATTCTATCATTAATGTAAATATATACAAATATTTCAGATATTTCTTATCTATGAGAAAAATTAATGCAATATTTAATGCAAATATTTGCAATTAATATATAATAATATTAAAAATAATAATTTACTACTGAAATAAATTTAGAGATAGCAAATTTCCGTTCTTCCGCTTGTGAAAAATATTTTATAGGATATGTTCATAAAATTACGAAGCGTAAAATATATTCCTAGGATATATAAGATAATATTACAATTTCGAAAGCTCTATGAATCGAAACGTTATATATTATATTTGTTACATAAAACTTTCGTGCTACGTAATATGCAATGACAGATTCATAACTCACATGAAACATTTTAAACATTGAATCATTGGTTCTCAATCTTCTTCTGAATTTGCAGAGAGTTTCTTTTTCTCTCACAATAGAAATGCATCCATAACTAATAATAATATTTGATTGATTTGAATATTGATTTGATATTAATATTCTATATTAAGTGATTATTATAGATTGTGGATTTTTATGCATATTTTGACAAAAATATATAATAATAATGGAAATTAAAATTATATTTTTTATTTTGTATATTATTAATATTATATATATTTTGCATAATATATATTTATGTATTGTTTATTCTATGCATATTATGTATATAACTTTTACATATTTTATATCTGAGAGGGAATCATTCTTGAATCCAATGATAATATACTAAACAATGCATCATAAATTCCTTCTAATAAAATTTTCACATCTCTTCATCTTTTGTTAACTTTTTTTTGTCTTCTCTCAAGTTTCTCAATCATCATTAATAATTTTTTATAAAAATATAATTGTAATTATTTATTTATAATTAATTTTTAATTATAAATTTTTATGAATTTATATTTCTATATTTTTCCTCGTAACGTGTGAAAAATTTAATCTATTTTCAATGTCTAACGAATAAGAAATAAAAAATA